TGATATTGAAGGAGAGAAAAATCTCGGTGTCTTCACAATTATTTAACAATTGTGTTAACAAGGCCAGATGCAGTGGCTCATGCCTGTAATCCCAGTACTTTGGGAGGCTGAGGCAGGTGAATCACTTGAGGTCAGGAGTTCAAGACAAGCCTGGCCAACATGGTGAAACTCCATCTCTACCAAAAATACAAAAGTTAGTCAGGCATGGTTAGCGCACACCTGTAATCCCAGCTACTTGGGAGGCTGAGGTGGGGGAATCACTTGAACCTGGAAGGTATAGGTTGCAGTGAGCTTGCCCCAGAGAATCACATGGTCATAGTGGGGATAGCAATGTGCAAGGGGCAGGTGGGGAAAAACACTCGGTATGACAGGATTCTGATCATTCCAGCTTGGGCGACAGAGCGAGACTCTGTCTCAAAAAGAATAAAAAAAAGAATTGTGTTAACAACGTGCCTGGTACCATAAAACAACCCTTTTTATTATTACACGAAGTATTTAGTAGTTCGTGAAATCAAAAACCAAACAAACAAATAAACAGAAAAAGGCCTGAAGTAAATAGAGATGAAACTCTATTCCTCAGTCCTTGTATTTCTACAAGAAAATGTTGGCTCCCAAGAAGGTCTGATTATAGCTGTACATCTGAACTTGTTCTCCAACCCAGTGATTTTAAGAATAAAGCTGATATTTTTATCTCTGACACTTGTGTTTTCTTCCTAGTTGATTCCAAACTCATGAAAGGAGACTGGGGTGTGATCACTTACCTCTGCTAAAGCCCTCGAAGGGGGAAAGTGCTTGGAGAGATGACCTGAGGGAAGCCTGGTATGCCTGGAGATACAGTGAGTGCAGGTGGAAAGCAGAATGAGATGAGTTCATGGGATAGATGCAGACCAGATCATACATGGTCTTGTGGCCATGGTATGTATTTGTTTTAATCAGAGCCAATGAAAAAAACATTGAAAGGTTTCAAGTAAAGGAGTGACATATGAAGATTTTCATATAGTTGTGTAAAGAAAGGCTTATAGGGGATCAAACATAGTAGAAGGGAGATGAGTTACCAGAGCATGGCTGTAGTCCAGGTAAGAGATGAGATAATCTTGTTAAAGCCCAGTGGGTTCTTCTTGCCCACCACACAGATAAAGCCAGTATACTGAGATAGCAGAGAAGGAGTTTAATTATTACAAGGCAGCTGAGCAGGAGGACAGGAGATGTTTCCCAAATCCACCTCTCTGAGAGCTCAGAGGCTAGGGTTTTTAAGGATAGATTGGTGGGTAGAGGGTTAGGAAATGGGAAATGCTGGTTGGCTGGGTCAGGAATGAAATCATAGGCACTGAGTTCATTCCTGGGTGAGGGTAACCAGTCAGGTGGCATCATTTGTTCCATCAGAATGCAAAGTCTGAAAAATATCTCCAACACCAGTTTTGGGTTTTACAAGAGTGATGTTATCTATAGGGGCAAGTAGGAAAGTTGGAAATCTTTTGAACACCAGCCACTTAACTCCTGAGCAGCAAGCACATTAGGAACCATGACTGGTTATCATTTAACCATGCATAGGTGTTACAGAATTCAGGCCCCTCCCAAAATTCTAATTTTGTGTACTCCATTAGTTTTACAAAGGTGGTTCTGGTCCCCAAACAAGGAGGGGAATAGTTTTGGGAAGCAGCTATTATCATCCTTGCTTTAAGGTTAAACTATAAACTAAATTCCTCCATAGTTAGCTTGGCCTATGCCCAGGAATGAGCAAGGGCAGTTATCTTGTCAGGTTAGAAGCAAGATTAAGTCAGGTACATTAGATTTCTCTCACTGGCATAATTTTTGCAAAGGCAGTTCCAGTCTGATTCAGGGCAGTAGTAGTGGAATTTGAAATTAAGAAATGTGGATTAGGTGAAAATATTTTTTGGAGTTGAATTAGTATAATACATTCATGTATTATGTCTGGCAGATACTATTGGTTTTTGCCCCACCAAATTCCAGTCTTCTTTTTCTATAGTACACAGAACTCATCCTTTTTACCTGGGCACTTGGCTACCTAGAACAAAGATTATATTTCCTAGCCTCTTGTAGCTTGATGTGGCCATGTAATTAGGTATGTGTATGTTTGTTTGTTTGTTTGAGATGGAGTCTCACTCTGTTGCCCAGGTTGGAGTGCAATGGCATGGTCTCAACTCATTGCAACCTCTGTCTCCCGGGTTCAAGAGACTCTTCAAACTCAGCCTCCTGAGTAGCTGGGGCTATAGGTGCTTGCCACCACACCTGGGTAATTTTTGCATTTTTAGTAGAGACGTGGTTTCACTATGTTGGCCAGGCTGGTCTCAAACTCCTGATCTCATGATCCACCTGCCTAGGCCTCCCAAAGTGTTACAGGAGTGAGCCACGGTGCCTAGCCCTTAAGTTTTAATCAATGATAGGGATATAATATGTGAAACTTCTGGGACATATCCCTAAAGAGAGGGAACACCCTTCTTTTCTCTTCCCCCATCCTGATGCTTAGAACATGGGCTTTATGGCTAGAGCTGTCTCCTGAGCCATGAAAATAAGGACTAGGGTAGATTGCTTACAAAGATGGTCCCAGTGATTCATCTAATATTTATAGGTATGTACCTTTGCAATATAACTGTGATACTTCTTGAATAAAGAGATGTAGTCTATTTCCCCATCCCTTGAAACTGGACAGGCCTTGTGACTTTTTTGACCAGTAGGTACAGCAGAAGTAATATTGTAGGACTTACAAACTTAGACCCTAAGAAGGCTTGTAGCTTCCATTCTCACCCTCTTCAAACACTTCCCTGAAAATAAGCCCAGTCTAACCTACTGAAGGGTGAAAGGCCATGTGGAGGAGACCCAAGTGCTCAGCCAGGAGCCACCATGAACTACACCAAATACAAAACTAGATCCTTTAAAAATTTAAATTTAATTTTCTGGTTTTATTTATTTATTTATTTTTGAGAAGGAGTTTTGCTCTTGTTGCCCAGGCTGGAGTACAATGGCATGATCTCGGCTCACTGCAACCTCCCGGGTTCAAGCAATTCTCCTGTCTCAACCTCCTGAGTAGCTGGGATTACAGGTGCCTGCCACCACACCTGGCTAATTTTTGTATTTTCAGTAGAGACGGGGTTTCATCATGTCGGCCAGGCTGGTCTCAAACTCCTGACCTCAAGCGATCCACCCACCTCAGCCTCCCAAAGTGCTGGGATTACAGGCATGAGCCACCGTGCCCGGCCAATTTTCTGGTTTTATTATTTAAAAGTTACCAGACTTGGAAGTTCACAATGAATCAATCAATATAAAAGCTCTTACATTTGAACTTTTTTTTTCCAAAAATCAAAAGAAGAGCAACCCAGAGCTAAATCAAGATTGAAAATTGCCAAACTGATTTTTTCCCCTTTCTCCTTACTTTATTTATTTATTTGCTTGTTAGTTTCAGCATCTTGCTCTGTTGCCCAGGTTGGAGTGCAGTGGCCCAGTTGCAGCTCATTGCAACCTCCCCCTCCCAGGCTCAAATGATCCTTCCACCTCAGCCTCCCAAAGAGCTGGGATTACCTATAGATGTGAACCACTGAACTGGGCCTCTCCTTACTTTAAATACCTTATCTTTAGGGAATTTATGCTTCTTATCTATTTGACTGCAGTCAAGTTTGATCACTATAGAAGTTAAGCCGTGATGGAGAACAAAATTGGTGGTTTAAACACAATTCAAATAATATCAGATTCTGTAGAGTCATTTTAGCTAGAATCCTTTCAATTGATCAAAAGTTCTTCCTTTGTGCCATTAAAGCTTTATATTTCCTATTAAATATTCATTAATTTTTTCGTCTGGAGAGTGTTTTTGCAAACCACCAATTGTGAACTCTCAGAAACACTTTTGTTAGCTCAATAAATTTATAGCATCTTTTTATGAATCAGGCTTTCCAAGCGCTTTATTGGAGTAAAGGCATCATTTATTAGCAAAACAAAGAGGATCTCATATCTGGCAAAAGTTACTTATATTTTTTAATCATGCTGTCTCTTCTATTTCCCTTTGCTGATAAAGATTCTTATTCAAGCACTGGCCCTGTTTCCTTAGGAGGAGGGTTATGATAGAACATATGCTTTATCAGCATGCCAATTTACAATGATAAAAGCTCAAGGCCAATACAACATAAAAATCCAGTGATAACATGTTACATTTTGGCATATGCCACCTTGACTGTACCCTCAAAGTTGCCAACATCAAGAACAATTTTGAGATAGCCAGGCACAGTTTTGGTGGCACACACCTGTATTCCCAGCACTTCAAGAGGCCAAGGCAGGAGGATTGCTTAAGCCCAGGAGTTTGAGATCAGCCTGGACAAATAGTGAAATCCAATCTCTACAAAAAATACAAAAATTATCCGGACGCGGTGATGTGCCCCTGTGGTCCCAGCTACTCTAGAGGTTAAGGTAGGAGGATTGCTTGAGCCTGGGAGGCAGAGGTTGCAGTGAGCCGAGATTGCACCACTGCACTCCAGCCTGAGCAGCACAGCAAAGCCCTGTCTCAAAAAATAATAATAATAAATTTTTAACAGGAAAAATTTTGAATGTACTTGGAGCATTTAATGACTTTTTTGCAGTCAAGTGATTTTTGAATGGTTCTAAGGTTAGACATCCTTGACAACCATGCATTTCAATGGAACTTTTACATTTTTATGTCTAAAAGATTCAATCATGTAAAAAGTCTTTTATGGGATCAGTCTCTTTTCCTTAAAGTTTGTCTGTTCATAAGAATAATTGTGCATGGTTGCATTGTTCATAGAGTGCCACACAACGATTCAGAACACCAACACCCATATGGGTAAGGAGCAGATTAGAAATATACATTTACTGGTTAATAGACATAGATAAGGAAGTTGTCCCCCGACCAGAGCCAGGCTGTCTCTTGGCTTTAGACCAGTTGTTAATGGTATTGGGCAAAGATATTCCTCTGGTATTCATTCCTTTAGGAGTGATAAGGTTTCCAAAGTATGATTACAAGGAACTGGTCTCACCTGGCTTCCATGGGAAAGGTTTCTCTTTCTTTTTCCTTTTTCTTTTCTCTTCTCTCTTCCTCTCCCTTTTTCATCACTATTTGCAAAGCATATTTATTTACATTAGATTATTTGGTAAAGGCAGAATAGATATCCTTATCCTTATCCTTATTTTTAACAGTTCAGTAGGTTTTAGCATATTCCCAAAGTTATGCAACTATCACCACTATCCAATTCTAGGATTTTTTTTTTTTTTTTTTTTTTTTTTTGAGATGGAGTCTCGCCTTGTTGCCCAGGCTGGAGTGTAGTGGCGCGATCTCAGCTCCATGCAACCTCTGCCTCCCTGGTTCAAGCAATTCTCCTGCCCCAGCCTCCTGAGTAGCTGGGAGTACAGGCGTGTGCCACCATGCCCGGCTAATTTTTGTATTTTTAGTATTTTTGTATTTTAGTAATTTTTGTATTTTTAGCCGGGCTGATTTTTGTATTTTTAGTAGAGACGGGGTTTCACCGTGTTGGTCAGGCTGGTCTCGAACTCCTGACCTTGTGATCTGCCCGCCTTGGCCTCCCAGAGTGCTTAGATTACAGGCGTGAGCACTCCCAAAGTGCTGGGATTACGGGAGCACCCGGCCCAATTCCAGAATATTTTCAAGGCTTCAAAAAGAATCTGCTACCATACCATTACTAGTCACTACCCATTCTCACGTCCCCAGGTTTCTGGACCACTGATGTATTTACTGACTCTCTGGATTTGCCTGTTCTGGACATTTCGTACAAATGTGGCCTTTTCTGTGTTCATCATGTTGTGGCACATGTCGGAACTTTATTCCACTTTATGGCTGAATAATATTCCATCATATAAATATATGACTTTTGTTATCCATTCATTGGTTAATAAACATTTGGGTTGTTTCTATCAAGGCTGTTAAGAATGATGCTCCTATGAACACTCACATGCAAGTGTTTGTGTGTACGTGTGTTCAATTTTGTTGGATATATGCCTATGAACAGAATTGTTAGATCACATGGTAACTGTGTTTAACTTATTGAGGAAACATCAAACTCTTTTCCACAGAGCTGCACCATTCTTCATTCCCACTAGCAATGCATGAGAGCTCTAATTTCTCTAGATCCTTACCAATACTTGCTATAGTCTGTATTTTTTATTATAGCCATCTTAGTGAGTGCAAAATATCTCATTGTATTTTTTTTTTCTTTCCTTCAACTTTTAAGTTCCAGGGTACATGTACAGGATCTCACTGTAGTTTTTATTTGAATTTTCCTAATGATTAATGTTGACCTTATTTTCATGTGCTTATTGTCCATTTGTATATCTTCTTTGGATAAATGTCTATTCAAATCCTTTGCCTATTTTTAAGATGGGTTATCTTTTTCTTGTTAAATCGTAAGAGTTCTCTATGTATTCTAGATGTAAGTCCCTTATCAGATGTGACTTATAAATATGTTCTCCCACACCATGGGTATTTTTTCATTTTCTTTTTTTTGTTTTTGTTTTTGTTTTTGAGGTGGAGTCTCACTCTGTTGCCCAGACTGGAGTGCAGTGGTACAATCTCAGCTCACCACAACCTCCGCCTACCAGGTTCAAGCAATTCTCCTGCCTCAGTCTCCTGATAGCTAGGACTACAGGCGCACATCACCATACTCAGCTAATTTTCATATTTTTAGTAGAGACAGGGTTTCACTATGTTAGCCAGGCTGGTCTTGAACTCATGACCTCGTGATCCACCTGCCTCAGCCTCCCAGAGTGCTGGGATTACAGGCATAAGCCACGGCGCCCACTCCTTTTTTTACTTTTCTACAGCAGAAACAATCTTTTTATTTTCTTGATGGTGTCTTTTGAAACACAATTTTTTTTTTTAAGAAGTCTAATTCTATTTTTTTATATGGTTGTTCTTTTGGTGTCATATCTAAGAAATCACTGCCTAATCCAAGGTCATAAAAATTTACACCTGTATTTCCTTTTAAAAAGTTTTAGTTTTAGGTCTTTAATCCATTTTGAGTTAATTTCTGTTACTGGTGTGAGGCAGGACTCAATTTCATTCTCTTGCATGTGTATGTACAGTTGTCCCAGCACCATCTGTTGAAAAAGACTCGGCTTTCCCCACTGAATGATGTTGTACCTTTGTTAAGGTCAATTGACTACAGATTTATGGGTTTATTTCTGGACTCTCAATTCTCTTATGTCTGTCTTATGCTAGTACCATACTGTGGTTTATTTTTTGTTGTTTGGTTTGTTTTTATTTTTATGGATACATAATAGTTGTGCATTAATACCATACTGTTTTCATTACTGTAGCTTTGTAATAAGTGTTGAAATCAAGAAGTATAAATTCTTCAACTTCGTTCTTCTTCAAGATTGTTTTTGGCTATTCTGTGTCCCTTACATTTCCATATAAATTTTAGAATCAGCTTGTTAACTTCAGCAAAAAAAAAAAAAGCACCTGGGATTTTGATAAGAATTATGTTGAATCTGTAGGTCAATTTGGAGAGTAATGCCATCTTAACAATATTGTCTTCCAGTCCATAAACGTGAGATATATTTTCATTTATTTAACTCTTTATTTATTTATTTTTTTCTTTTTTTTTTAGACAAGGTCTCACTCTCACAGGGTCTCAGGCTGGAGTGTGGTGGTGCAATCTTGTCTCACTGCAACCTCTGCCTCCCTAGTAACTGGGACTTCAGGCACCCACCACCATGCTCAGTTAATGTTTTTCTTTTTCTTTTTTTTTTTTTTTTTTGAGACAGAGTCTGAGAGTCTTGCTCTGTCACCCAGGCTGGAGTGCAGTGGTGCAATCTTGGCTCACTGCAACTTCCACCTCCCTGGTTCAAGCAATTCTCCTACCTCAGCCTCCTGAGTAGCTGGGACTACAGGTGCACACCACCACGCCCGGCTAATTTTTTTTATTTTAATAGAGATGGGGTTTCACCATTTTGCCCAGGCTGGTCTCGAACTCCTGAGTTCAGGCAATCCACCCGCCTTGGCCTCCCGAAGTGCTAGAATTACAGGAATGAGCCACGCGCCTGCCCTCGGCTAATTTTTGTAGGCTTTTGTAGAGACAGGGTTTCACCATGTTGCTCAGGCTGGTCTCAAACTCCTGAGCTCAAGCAATCTACTCTCCTCGGCCTCCCAAAAAGCTAGGATTGCAGGCGTGAGTCACTGTGCCCAGGAACTCTATTTCTTTCAACAACATTTTATAGCTTTTGCTGTACAAGTCTTGTACTTCTTTTATTAAATTTCTACCAAAACGATTCATTCTTTCGTACTGAGTTTATATCCTGCATCCTTGCTGAATGTATTAGTTCTAATAGTTCTCAAGTTTCTTAAGATCTTCTATATATACCAAGAAACCATTGACTTACTTTCTGTCACTATAGGCTTACCTGTTCTAGAACTTCATATAAATGAATTCATTTAATCTTAGTATCTGGCTTCTTTCACTCATGTCATCTGCAACTAGAGACAGTTTTGCTTCTACTTTTCCAATCTGGATTATTTTTATTTCTTTTTTTAATCGGATTTTATTTCTTTGTTTTTAGACACGCCCAGTCTGGAGTGCAGTGAAGCCAAATCTTGGCTGACTACAACCTCCACCTCCCACCTCCCCAGTTCAAGCAATTCTCGTGCCTCAGCCTCTTGAGTAGCTGGGACTACAGGCATGAGCCACCAAGCGTGGCTAGGCAGAGACAGGGTTTCACCATGTTGGCCAGGCTAGTCTCAAACTCCTGGCTTCAAGTGATACAACCACCTCGGCCTCCCAAAGTGCTAGGATTACAGGCATGAGCCAATGCGCCCTGCCAGGATTCCCTTATTTTTCTTGCCCAGTTGCTCTTTTGAGAAGTTGTAGTACAACATTGAGTATAAGTAATGAGAGCAGACATCCCTGTATTTTACCTGATTCTAACATATAAGGAGGATTCTGACCCTACCTTTCTTAGTTATGTGTAGCTCTTGAAGCATTATGTGAATGGCTACGTCTCATTTGTAAAGAGGACACCAAGTTATTTTTATTTTTATGCTTCCCTCAGTGGTTCTCCACATCTCAGCATTTAAGGTAAGTTTGGTAGATCACCCAATTAGCTTGTCTGTGTTTAACATCTGTATCTTATTTGAAGGTTACCATTGCTAGAAAAGGCTTATTAACTTTTGCATGCACTTTCAGTTAGCCATGCTTAGAATTTTTGTGGCCCATGTCAGAGCTCTGCTGAAATGTTTCAACTTTTCCTTGTTGCCTTATATATGTCTTTGTCTTTATGGATGGTTTTTGTGCCTAGACAGGATTATTCAAAGACCACATTTTTTCAGTTTAAATAAACTTTATTGAGGGTATTATTGTATCCATAATAAAATATACCTCTTTTTAGTGCATTTTTCCTTAGGTGTAGAAAATGTACAGACCTATGTAATCACTAAAAAGTTTCCCGTGTCTTTCTGCAATCCACCCACCCCAACACCAAGAAACCATTGATTTACTTTCCGTCACTATAGACTTACCTGTTCTAGAACTTCATAGGAATGAGTTCATATAATCTTTAGTGTCTGGCTTCTTCCCCTCAGCAGTGTTTTTTATATTTACTCATGTTATTGTGTATATAAGCATTTTGTTCCTTTTTGTTGCTGAGAAGTATTCTATTGTACGGACAAATCACATCTATTATTATTTCACCTGTTGGTGAACATTTGGGTTGTTTTTAGTTTAGAAATATTATGAATAAAGCTGCTACCAACATTCATATGTAAGTCCTTGTGTACATGTGTTTTAACTTTTGGAGGGGAAATGCCTAGAAGTGGAATTACTAGGTCATATGGTAAATGTGTGTTTAACTTCACTAAAAACAAAAACAAAAAACAAAACTTGCCAAACTGTTTTTCAAAGTGGGTGTACAATTTTGTAATCCTACCAGTAAAGTATGAATTATTTCCAAGTAGTCCACAATCTTGCCAGCATTTTGTAGTGTCTGTGTGTGTTTTCTTTTCTTTTCTTTTCTTTTTTTAATTTTACCAGCCTGGAGGTTGCATAGTGGTATCTTATTATGGTTTTAATTTGAATTTTGCTGATGACTACCGATGTTGAGCAGTC